TCTTGTAAATCTTATTATAACTTCTCTGCTTTCTTTACAAACGGCGTTTCTGCAGAAGAGACAAGGATCGTGTGATATAAGTTTTCTTTGTTTTGCTTGATCCAAGAAGAATACGAGCATGAAAAACTTTTTGAGAGTAAACTTCTTAATTGCCTCCATGTATGCGGGAAGTAACATATTTGGTGCATTGGATTTCGAATGTTTGTTTTTGAGGAACGGGTTCTTGAACATTCTTTGAATTATAAACGTAGTGAGACCCTCAACGTCGCTGTTTGAATGTAAAGGTAAAACAAGACCATAAATGGCTTCAAGACCGATTCGAAGCCAAAGTGGATTGTACGATAATAGCAACTCCATGATAATCTTCTGGAGTCCAACATCTAAATGAAGATTTCTGTCAGCCCTAATGGCAATAAGCTTCTTGTCAATTTGAGCAGTCAACTTCTGGAACACTATTGCGATCTCAGGACTCATAAGTAAAGCTCTAGCTGACCTTCTAAGACTCTCCAGGCGGTGACTATTGTGATACGCGCTCGACACTTGTTCCTTTGTAGGCGCGGCAGGAACTTCTTTATTCCTATTTTCGATCCAGGCTTTTCCAACGTCTATCTTCTGTTCTACGTTGCTATCTAGATCGGAAGGTGGTGTCAATATACAATTCAACCATCTTTTAAATTCATTCTCGAACTTTTCTACGGCTTCTTCGTCGTAAAAGTAAGTAGACGATAAGAATGGATCGACTGTCGCCGCTTGAGAGTATACGTTTCCCACCTGGTTGACTGACATGTTCTGGATAATACTTTTATTTGTCTCAAATGTTGTGTTAGAAATCTTACTACTGCTCGAATCTTTTTTGGTAGACGCCTTACTTTTCATAGTCTTCTTGACATGAGAAATCGGTATTTTCCAGAGATCTGGTTCCGCGCGCACAGCTTTCTTGGACCACGATTGTCTTTGACTCGTTGCAGGGATCGAAGAAAACCTATCGGGAGCTTTGTCGAAAGTACGATTGATGGTGAATGTAGACATTTGTTGGTCGGTTCTGTTGAAGGTATCAGAGAACTGGACACTTTCTTCGGGAATAGACTGTAGAGGAGGAGTGATCGATCTAGGCGGAGGAGATCGTGTATCCACTCGTAATTCGTTTTGCCAAGCGTTTTCGTAAGCATTCAAAAAGTTTCTTTGATCATAGATTTCTTTTTGGTGTTGATTTCTTTGATCGCAGTTTTCTTTCTGGTGTTGGTAGTCTTTGAAGAGAGCTTGCCTGCACATCTTAGGCTGTTCTTTCAGAAAGAAGTGTGGTGGCTTCATTTCGTAAATTTGGTTGAAATTCAGTTCCATTGGCGTATTCGGTGATTCCTTGGTGTAGGTATCAGAGCCAGGTTTGAAATGGTCGTCAAATATGTCATGGGTATCATTATTTAACTTCGGGAATGTTTTCCGTTCTGTCGAAAATCTTTGTGGGAAGAACGACAGGTCGCTAATGCGAGAGAATTCTGTGTTTATAGAGAAATTAGGGCTGTTCAGCTCTTTAGGCGATGATGTGTCAGGGTGTTTCTTACTCAGTATAGTGGGTGTTTCCATGTGGGTCTCAACTTTAGTGTGATGATTGACTGTCAGCCACTTATTGGGTGGTTGTGATGATGTCACACTGATAATGGAATGAGTCTGATTTTCTTTATTATAATCCTTATTCTCCAAACTATCATCCAAGTCACTTTCAGAATTCATACTAAGGATAATCTTAGGTCCCTTGTCAAGTTTCTCAACTTTAGCAGGCAAAGTTTTTAATGGAGTAAATGTGAGATTGTCAAACAGTTCTGTACCAGAGATATCACAAGTTTGCTTGTTGGATGGCTTCAGTACATTTTGTGGTGCATTCAATGTATTATTGTAAGTGTAGGATTTGTCATATGTTTGCTGCAGTATATCTTGTTTATAAGGCTGGCGCATATTAGAGAAAACTTCGGAAGTATCAAAGTTAAAGTCAATACTGCCTGGTGAATCAAATGGACACTTATCTTGACGGATGTCCATGGCAAAGTCGTTAATTGCCATATTTTCTTTGTTGTACATTTGATGAGTAACCTTTTGTTGTGATTGGATGACTTTGTATGTCTTCTGTATTTGTGTTGTATTGTAAATTATTTCAGACTTCTTCTTGTAAACAGCTACTGGAGATTTCTTACCTGATTTCTTTTTTATTTTACCTGGGGATATCTTGAAACCTTTAGGTAGGGCGCCTTTCCCTTTTACATTCTGAAAATATTACATTTTTATAAGTGGCAGCTAGAAACAATGTGAAAAAATATTTTCTGGAATCAAAGGATTAAAAATAATATGAATTTCACACCTGAATACTGAAAGGCTACTCAATTTTAAGTTGTTATTAAATATCATGCCATCTCTGTCGTTTTACAAAAAAATTATAGTGACAGAACTATACTTAACCCATACATCCCCAAGTGGTCACCGGTGACCGCTCTTCACTAACTACATTATAGACCATATTTCCAATGTTTAGAGACAACTTTTAGAACAAATTTAGGGGATGAATTTCAACGTTTTAAGTGTGACTTAAAATTGAGTAACATTTAAATATTGCGAATAAGAGGCTGAATGTGCAAATAAATTGATAACTAAATAATAACAACATAACATCACGCCTTTGATCCCCGAAGGGGTAGGCAGGGGTGCACATTATGCCACTGTACAATGTAACACCCACTTTTTGCTATTTATGTTATGAGTCCCATGTAATAAGGGGTAAGCCGTGCCATATACCAGGCACAATTCCAGACTCCGTGCTTCTACTGAGATTTTTTTTTAAACTGACTAAACTAAATAATAATAAAAGTGATTTACATGGTACATTAAAATTGAAATAAGTACTTTTATCAATATTAACATAACATTTTCAATTTACAGAGAGTTAGCAAAGGTATACATATTTTTTTTTTGTATATTTATACATAATTATATCAAATCTTTAATTTACTTTTCACTACTTAATTGGAGGGAGCATATTACTTTACTTTACTTTTCTTCTTCGAAACATTTTATTTTAATATCATTGTAATATATGCAATGTAAACCCCATTACAAGTTTTAGTTTATTAAATAGGACAAGCCTATAAGCCTATGGTATAATAATTCTTACTATTTCTATGCATTTGTTAGCAAGAAACCGTAAATATATAATAAGATATTTTAATATTATTTTTATTAAACTGTCAAACACTGAGCGGTCACCGGTGACCGCAACCTATTGTTCTCTAATTGTGTCTATAATGACGGTACTCAACAACTTAATTAAGCTTTTATTTTAATATTATTTTTATAAATAATGTAAAATAATTACCACAACAGACTTGAGAACAACAATAACATCATATCTGCCTCTGTTCTCATTGGTGAAGCGGATTGTTTCCCTGGTTCCAGTTGGCTGGGTCGGAGTCCATAGCATTGTTAAACAGTAACACGTCTCCGGTTCCAGGACCAGCCATTCTCCTGGCAAGTGGATCACCAAGCCAGCCGGTAGAGACTTACCGAGTGTTATCTAAAAAGGAAATTTTTTTATATTGTAGAAAGTAAATTATATGTGTTTTCTACAGATACATAATTTATTCAAAGTAAATGGTTTACTTGGCTACCTAAGTTAATGGAAATCTTGTTGAAATGGGGTTACTTGTGTAATA